GGGGGCCGGGGGGGGGGGGGGGGGGAGCGACCCGGGGCTGGGGATGGGGAGCTGCGCCACCCCGTGCCATCCTGCCTTGCCTGGCAGGCCCCCGCGGCCCTCGCAGCCTCACTCTGGCCCGGCCGTACCTCGTGTTAGCGATCCGCTCTCTCCACTCTTCCGAGAGGAAATCTCCTCTCTCCAGCTGAAAGGAGAAAAGAGGGACAGCCCATCACTCAGGGGTCTCGCTCGCCTCTGCACCCCACCCCCACCTGCCCCCCAAAGAGATGGAATGAGCAGAGGCCCTGAGTGGGGAGGCCGCGGCGGGGCGGTGGCGTTGGGGCCAGGCTCCCACAAGGGGATGGCGGGGAGAGGCCGAGACCACGCCATGCCCGTGCAGGGCCAGCAGGGGGCGCCCCGAGGCGGCCGTGCTGGACAGAGCACACGCGGCAAGGGCTCAGCTCTCCTGCACCACCTCGCCTGTCTCCTGGGCAGCAGGGCTGTCCTTACGCTCTCAGCACTGCTCTGACCACTATCTTTGTTAGCCGACTAATCTCATTGTGCCTCAAGGCCAAAGTCTGCCTGAGACAACTCAGACCTTATTAACCTAACTGCCCAGAACTGTACCATTTAACAAACCAAGAAATCTGGCTTTATAATTCTTCAAAAAAAGGCGATCATCCCACTCCTGGGTGTCCACCCCAGAGAAGTGAAAACAGACCTCCACAGGAAAACCTGCACACCCCTGTCCGCAGCAGCAAAGGTGGGAACCCACGTGTCCATCATGAACGTGAACAGATAAACACCCTGTGGTCCCTCCACACACGGGAGCATCACCCAGCTATAAAAAGGGGTGAAGCCCCGACACTCGCTGCAACGTGGACGGACCCTGAGAACACGATGCTCAGTGAGAGAAGCCAGACACCGAAGGACACACGGTGTGTGATTCCATTGATGGGAAACGTCCAGGACAGGCGGACCCACAGACAGAGCATCTCTGGGGTAGGGTGGAGGTGGCTGCTGGCGGCCCCCATCTGCACCCCACAAGCCACCAGGTGACCGGAGGCCCTCCAGGCAGCGATGGGGCAGCGCTGCCCAGCAGGGCTGGCCCCTGAGCCTGTCTTGGGACGGGCAGGAGAGAAGACCCCAAGCGTAGGAGCCTGTGAGTGCCATGGCGCCCAGGCAGAGCAGCTGCAAGTCCGGCGCCCTCCAGCACACAGGAGTCACCCAGGGACACGAGGGGCCGAGCCCCGCAGGGCGGAAGGGAGATGGCCGTCCTAAAACACCCGGGTGCTGTGGGAGGTCTACGTCCCAGACGTCCACGTCTGTTCGCTGGGTCCTCTCCACTCGTGAGGCTGCCATGGTTCCCTGCGCACAGCCCGGCAGGCTTGGGGCGCTGACCCAAGTCCAAAGTCCTTACGATGCCGCCCAGGAAAACGCTCAAGCTGCAGGCCTGAGGCCGTGTCCTGGGAAGGGTGCTCGGCGTCTGGAACCCGACCTCGGGGGCTCCCTGTCCGCACACTCTCTGGGAAAACACGGGGTGCACACGGGCGCCCGCTCTCCTCCCGGCGTCGGGGGTCTCGGCTGACCGGCCCCCAGGGAGAACCCTGGGCTGGGTCTCTGTGGCCAGGAGAGCAGACCACAGCCCCCGGGCACTGGGTCTTGTGAGCCTCCCTGGGGCGCGCACCTCGCTCGTCACGTCTCGTTTGGGGGAGTGAAGCGCGTCCTATAGAGTCTGGAAGCTTGCGCCTGGTCCCCTGGACCCATCCTACGCCTCTTCCCTCTGCCGGTTTTGCTCCATCCTGGCTCTGAATAAACCACAACGTGAGGACGACGTCTGCTGCGTCCTGGGGTCCCGCAGGCTCGTCCCGATGTGGCTTCTCTCTCCGTGGGGGCTCACCCATCCAAGCCACAGCGCCACTGCTCTGTTGTGGCCTCATGTTCAAGGCAAGAAAACAGCCACTGTCCCAGCCCCGCCGCCATTCGCCTCTTGTCACCGACTGGCCAAGTCGGCTCTGTGTTGCTGGGGCCAGTGTGCCCGAGTTAACCGTGCCAGGAAAATGTCACCCCCACCAAGGACCCGTGACTGGCCCCAAGATAACCAAGACCTCCAGTGTGGAGAAACGCACACGGGCATGAGAGAGAAGAACGGACCCCAGCCCGCAAAGGCACAGGGGCTGCCACCGCCTGCCCGGGGACCTGGCCAGGGGCACCTCCCCACATGGCACTTCTGCGAGGCTGCCACCACCCCAGGCAAGGGAAACCTGTGTGCCAGGCCCACTGTCAGGGGCCGACGGCACGGGGTCACCTGGCTGTCGCCAGGCGGAGGGGGCGCCCTGAGGTGTGACAGACGCAGGCAGAAGCCGGGCGTAGGGAGGGCCCAGGGCCTCTGATGGGAGGACAGCTGTGGGCTGCAGGGCCGGGCAGGGGCTGAAGCAGCGGCTCAGACGCCAGGAAACACACTGGGCTCGGAGGCTCCTGCTGGCTTTGTTCCCCCCTCAGTTACTAAGTGACAGGGGCAGGACCCTGCCCGCCAACCAGGGCACCTGCTCCCAGCCACAGAGAGCCGCAGTGGGGGCACCTTTCCAGACCCAGCCAGCAAGCTCCTGCCAAATCCATGCGTTGGGCAGGGACTGTCACCACACCCTCCTGGAGCAGGGCCACGTGGACGCCAGAGGCACAGCTGGCTGCCGCTCCAGACACGGCCAAGGCCACGACCAAGAGTCCTCTGAGCCGAGTTCTGCTCACAGCCACCTCGCGAGGCCACAGAGCAAGGGCAACTGACAAGCGCCCCAGACCTCACGAGGCCAAAGAGTGAGAAGGTTTACACACAGGGAGCCCCGCCAATGAGCCAGCTGACGTGCCACTGACCCCCAAACACCCACCAGGCCAGGCGCTGCCGCCCAAAGGTGACGAGGGGAGGAAGAGAGGAGAGGTGACCCGCCGGGGCAGGCAGCCCACCAGCCTCACCCCCGCCTCTCCCTCCAGCCGCAGGGATTGTACCAACAGCTAGAACCGCACTCCGGATACAGCAGCGAAGGCTGCCCGCGGATCCATCGGGGCATCCCTGGGACCTGTGTCAATGCAGACTTCCACGCTACGGGATTGAACTGCTTGGCCCTCTCACCAGAAGCAGGAGACACTTCTTAAATTTAAAAACCTAGGTTTTTGGAGGTCAGAAGGTCTTAGGAAAATGGTAAACCATCCAGGAACTCTTAGCAGCGCATATGCCAGTGGATCTAGGGACTGGGCGGGAAGAAGTTTCCTGGAAACAGAAACCAACTGGACTGACTGCGCTCAGCCTGAGCAACGAGCACCAGAGGACTTCACATGCCGGAGGGACACAGGAGGCCAGAGGATACACCCCTCGCTTTTCACTGAGGGGAGAGAATCATGCAAGAGATCCCACGAGGAAAAGGGGAGGGGAGCTGGGCCCAGCCTGTAGATGTGCAAGTCCTGGTCCAAGAACAGCAGAGCAGAAGCAGAGAGGGCACAGCCAAGCTCACACCACGAGGCCACACCACCCTGATACCAAAGCCAGGCATCACGAGAAAGGAAAACTACAGACCAGCATCCCTCTTGGCTGCAAATACCCTCAACAAAAGAGGAGCTATACCCCAGGGCCAGGTGGGATTTACCCCGGGCATGGAAGTACATCAACCTTTGTACTCTGTCCTCTCAAAAGGCCAAAGAAGAAAATCACACAATGCAAAAGCAGCTTTAACAAAACCCAATACCCATTCACAATAAAGATTTTCAGAACAAAAATGAGAACAGAGGTGAACTTCGTCAACTTCGAGGCTTTCCTGTTAAGATCAGGGGCAAGAAAAGGATGTGCCCTCTCATCCCTGCTCTTCAACACCACACTAAAAGCCCCGGATAATGCAATAAGACAAGAAAAGGAAAGGATACAGATTGGGAAGGAAGACGTAAAACTGCCTTTATTCAAAGGTGATGTTATTGTCTATGTAGAAAATCCAAAAGAGTCAATGAAAACGACGACAACCCTGGAACTAACGCAGCAACTACAGGCAGGTTGCAGGATGAGGGTATGGATGTACGTCAGCACAGCGCAGACAGAAGTCAAGTCCAAACCCCCTAGAGTGGCCAGCACATCACTGAAGGAGAATGAGGCTGGAGGCCCAATGCCACGCGGTTCAGGACTGACTCTCGTGAAGACGCAGCTGTCAAGACACCACAGTGCCACTGAGAGAGCACACGGGGAGAGCGTGGGACAGAGCGGAGCGGCCGCTGGCCTTGGGCGATCAACAAAGATGGCTCAACAGAGAGAGGCAGCCCTGCAGCAGACAGGGCGGGGCAGCTGGATGTCTGCACACGGAGAAATGAATGCAGACGCAGACCTCACGCCCACCACAAGAAGTAACCAGAAAGAAACCACGAACCTACAGGCAAAACGCACAGCCACAAAACTCCTATATGATACCGTGAGGGTAAATCTAGGTGAGCTGAGGCTTAGCTTTTAAACACGATACCGAGGGCACGACCCATGAAAGGAGAAATGGCTAGGCTGTTCTAAGAGCCTGGAGCCCCCTCTCCTGCGCCCCCATCCGCTTCCCACCTACAATTACGTGACCCACTCTGGGTCCCTGAGGCAACGGGGACACCGACTCTGGCCCCACAACCCTGCCCGCAGGACGGCGCAGGGAGAGCAGCGAGCACGGCAAGGAACTCTCGGAGGGGGCGTCAGGACCACGTCACAGCCAGCTGGGGTCTAAGTGACCTGGGGGGCGTGAGATGGGAAGTGGTGGGTGTGGTGAAGATCCGGTTGCAGACCCCGCCCCCTGCGATGCCCCAGCAGCGGCCCAGGGGATGGTGGCTGCATGGCGGCCGTGCATCCACAGGCAACTGAAACCTGGCAGAAAGACTGACGAAGCCTTGAGCACAGAAACGCACTCGAGCCGAGGATGCGGACGCGGACACCCTGGGTAGGAGGAGCAGAGAGAGAGGCCAGAGCGTCCAGGATCCAGGAGCGAGACCTGAGGAACCTCGGCGTCGAAAGGCCGGGCTGAGCGATGCTGAGTGAGGGGCAGAGGGGCAGGCGGCACCGGGACAGCCGGGGGACTCATCCGCTGGGCCCCACGCTGCTGCGGGGGGCAAGCAGGAGAAAGATGCCCTCAGCCGGCCCGCGGACGGAGCAGAGGCCGCCTCGCCCGCACCCTGCCGCCCCCACGTGCCAACCCGGGAGGGGCGCTGCCTCTGAAAGAGCCGGTGCTCTGAGGCCTTGCCGGTGCCTGGGGGGCTGAGGAAGACAAACGCCACATGGGCCACCTTTGTTCTCTGAGCGCCCGCAAAGGCCCCCAGGAGGGAGGATGAGAGTGGCCGGCAGAGGGTGGAAAGCGGTGGGGAGGGGGCTCCGGGTTGGGGAGCTGCCCCGCCCCCGGGGGCGGAGGCTCAGGGCAGGCACTGCACCAGCAGCCACGGGGCATGGAGCGGTGGCACTCACTGTGTATTCTGCATGCTTTTTTCCATACCATTTCATCCACTTCCTGAACTCTCGGTCCATGGTCTGCAAGGGAGCCGAACCAGACAGCCCATCAGGAACCAGGCAGCTGGGATGGCACCCACGGCTCCCCAAGCCCCCTTCCTCCCCTCGCCCGCCCGCTCCGGGGTTCCTGGCAAAGGCTCCCGACCACAGGGAACCCGAGTCAGTGGGCGTGCGAACCACAACTCTAAACACGTTCCTGTGGGGATGACACCACGGGGATGACACCGCTCAGACGTGTGCTCTCCCCAGACCCTGCCGCCCCCCAGGCAGACGCCGGCACAAGGGTGATGCCAGCTGACCTCACGGCACTGGGGTAACTCCCCTCCCCTTGACCCCCCCCGCACAGGCCACACCCTCGCCCCACAGGCCACCACAAACCAAGGTTAGAAAGAAAAGCGACAGATGCAACCATGCCCAGAGCCCAGAAGCGCTCACCTCCGCGTACTTGGCCGGGATGTCAGCTTTCTCGACACCATAGTGATGTTTGCAGTTGGTAGCCGCAGCGACCTGCAGCACAACCTGGCCCACTCCTTCAGAGAGAGAGAGAGAGAGAGAGAGAGAGAGACAGCAGCAGGTATCAGATGTGCACTGTGACAGAGGCCACACCCCAGCCACTGGGGCGATGGCTACAAGGTCACCAGGCAGAGGCCACAGGCTCTCAGCGAAGGTGCCCAAGCGCTCTCCGAGATCACAGAATGTGTTCAAATGCCCCAGGCCGTGGGCTGAGCCGCCACCAGGGGACAGCCATCTGGGCTGGGTTCCACTTCATCATCCAAGGACAACACTCCACAGCCCCCTAACCAGAATCCATCCTTGGTCCACGGCCCCATGTGGCATTAACTGCCCAGACACAGACCCAGCTATGTGGGACCCAGGAACCCCTCGGGAAGGCTCCCGCCCGCCCCAGACACACCGGTTCCATTACATGGCCAGCTCGCATCCTCAGCTGAGTCTGAAGCGGGCTCAGAGAGGGGGCGGGAGAGCCCCGCACCGCACACGCCAGCAGGACGCAGGCAGAGACTGCAGGCATTTTGCCTTCACGACAAAAGGAAGCTTTTAAAATGGTCTCTTCTTGAACTTAGATCAGCTGCACTTTAAATAAAGTGTCAGGAGGCCCTTGACTTCCCATTTTGAATAGAATGTACTCCAACGATGAAAACAAATCTCTATTCAGAAACACGGGGTAAACAGGGGAGAGGACGAGCGGTCCCTCCCAGGGGACAGGGGGAAGGCGTGGAGAGCTCGGCCTGAGGAGGCTGGCGCTTCTCAGAAATCATAAGCCTTTTGACACTAGGTGAGTTTTACAGGCTTTTAGAGAAATGACTTTTGAAGTACGTGCATTCTTATCAAAATATGAATCGTACACTTAAAAAGGACTTAAACCGACGATGACACCACGAAAGAAGCCACCTTCGTCCTCACCTACAGGGCCCCTGCCCGGCTGAGACGGGACTTTCGGGCCTGTGAGCAGGTCACATGGGATGGCAGAGATGCCCCAGCGGACTGTGCTGGGGGTTCCTGATGGAGCCGCCCAACAACATGCCGGACAGCCCCCCCATCAGCCCGTGACCTCACGGGTCCCACCAGGAACCAGTCAGCCCAATGCTTACTCAGGCAGCACGGTGTGCCACGTGTGCGCCTGCCAGGCCCTACCCCCGGGAGTCTCGACTCTGTGCAGGAGGACACCCCGTGAGCAAACAGGGGGGCCGCTTGGGCTGGTGAGTGCGGGAAGGGGGGAGGGACCACCAGCAAGGTGGGGGCTGGTCTGCCTCGGTGGTCCCTGGGGCCACCTGTGGGCCAAGAGCCAGGAGCAGCCCCAGGCCCGGGAGGAAGCAGGAGGGAGTGCGGCCACGAGGCCTGGGGGCACAGGGAGCAGGGCTCTCCTCTCAGCAGGAGGAGGCGGGGCGGGAAGCAGAGCCGCAGCTCAGCACCAGTGGCTGCGCGGAGCCCACGGACCTTCTCAGGCTGGCTTAGCAGGAGTGAAGGGGCAGCTTTCTGGGCACCGGAAAGGTGGGCTTGGTTTGCCGGGTGGGGAGAGGGGTGTGCTGACTCAGGACTGCAGGGTCAGGGCCCCCCCCACTGCCTAGCACTTACCCCGGACCCCTCCCGGCAGGCACATGGGCGTGGCCCACACTCACCGCTACCCAGGTCCACAAACAGGTCGTCCTCGGTCATCTTGATCTCGTCGATCATCTGGGCGACCAGGTCGAAGGAAGTCTCCCCGTACACCTCCGGGGAGAAGGGCTCATAGTTGTTGAGTTTCTCGGGGTCGGTCACCGAGTGGTTGTAGACCTGCTGCAGGATGTGGCGCAGGAGGCCCGTGGACGGCCGCGTGTTCAGCTTCATGGGCTGCGTGGTGCCCTTCCACTGCGGCACAGGGGGCGCCAGTCGGTCCACCTGGGCCCCGCCCCGCCAGCCGTGCCGCTGCCCCCAATGGTGATGCGTGTGCGCGGGAGCGTGTGTGTGAGCCTGTGTGCGGATGTGTGTAGTATGAACCTGCGTGCATGCATGTACCCGTGCGGGGGTACGTGTGCACACGTGTGCACCCCTGGACCCAAGCAGTGTGAGCTCCCCAGCGTAGCTCCCCTCTCTTAGCTGGTCTGTCCCAGCGCCCAGAGCACCCGAGGGGTGGGTTAAGGACGGAGAAGCCCCAGGAAGGCTCCCTGTCACCTGCCCGCCTGCCGTGGCTCCCAGGGGCACACCAACGCCCGGGACCCCTACCCTTTGGAAGTAATGAGGCCGCTCAGTCCCGACCATCTGCGTCACAGCGGCTGCGGTTCCCCACCCCCTACCCACTACAGGGTCCAACGCCCTGGGGTGCTGCAGGCTCTGCACTCCCAGGGCCTCAGGGGCCGGGTTGAAGCACCCAGGAGACTCGACAGGCAACGGGGTCCTGAAGCACAGCGTGGACCTGGAGGAGGAGGCGGGCCCGAGGGGCGGGTGAAGGCCACATACCAGCTGGTGGATGCTGTCGATGGCCCGGTTGTACTTGTCACAGAGCCTCTGCATGCTTTCGAAGCTGAAAGAGGCAGGTGATAGCCGCTGGCCACTGCCGAGCTCGGAACAAGCCACCAGGCCTCGTGGGAGGGGGCAGAGGTCCCAGGGGCATCATGGGGCCTCGAGACCAGCGCGGAGGGGTCGTTCATGGATCAAAGCCTCGGGCACCGATGCCCTGCAGGCCTTGGGTGGGGAAAGGGCTACTACAGCAGAGAGAGGCGGGCGGGACCAAGGCCGCCTCACCCCCAACCCGTGGATGCAATGAAGTCCCACCGCCTCAGGGCTGGGCCGCCCCTTCCCTGTCCTAGCCAGGGGTGGGGGGGGCCTCCATGTTTACCCCTCGGCCTAACTTGAGTGGGTGGGGGGACAACCGGGGCACTGAGGGCCACGCTCAGGCAGAAAGGGCTCCTGCTCTGCTGGTCAGGTGGAAGGGGACGACGGCCGACACCCCGGCTCTGCAGAGAGTAGGGTCAGCACCTCCCCCCTCATGCCGACATCACTTCTGTTTACTACACCTGTTTAAGTTTCTGACACTTTCACAGATATAAGCAGCCTGTGTTAGACACCTAACGAGGGAGTTATCGGGAGTTTTTAACAAGACTAGGTTCTCCCAAACACCAAGGAAATGAGTTTTCCACGGAACCCTCTAACCCAGGGGTACCCCCGGAGCAGTATGTGGGGCCATTTGTGGTTGTCACCACTGGCGTTGAGAGATGGGGCGGGGGCTGCCTGGGATGGCCCCGCGGAGGATGACCTGTCCGACGCCTGCAGTGAGGGGCTGTGCCTGGTGCCTGCGCTGCACAGGGGAGGGGCTGTCACTCGGGGGCTCGTCCAACGCCCCCTACAGGCAGGGCAGCAAGACGGCTGCTCCCCAGTGAGACGCCAGGACCCCGGGGAACCCAAGGACGCACACGGGGGTGCAGGGAGCACCCCCTGCAGCCCCTCCCCACCTGCATCTTCGAGACCCCCCGGCCCACGACCCTGGCCCTGGAAGGGCTCTGGGAATTTAAGTGCGCCTTCCTTCCTTCCTAACAGAAGTAAAAGAATTCAACTGGGACCTGTAACCATATGGCAAGTTCAGTTTCCTAGAATGGCAGCTGCAGCTGAAAAGCCAGAGATCTCGAGCAGGAAAGAGCAGGCGTGGCTGAAGCCTGTGAAACTTACACACAGACACACAGCGAGGGATACGCGGCTCCAACACGCTGGGAGCAGGCTGACACGCCGCAACAAGGCAGGAAACCCACATTCCAGGGGAGCTAACCACGTGCACAGGCGCGAGGGGTCCAGCCCAGCACTGGGCTGCGGGGTCCCAGGGAGCACGGCCCAGCAGCCACCCGAGTGCAGTGTCTGTGAGTGACACGCCCGCCCCTGGCCCCAGGCACCCACTCTTCGAAATGGAAGGCGGTGGACGCGATGGCCAGTCCATCTCCAGCTCCTGTCTTCCTACGCGGGCCTCAGGGAGAAAGCAACGCACTAGTTCACAACCTCACTTCCTTGTGTTCTGACTTCTACACCTCCTTCAAAGCCTCTGGCTACACCCTGGAAGAGACCTTTTCCTGGGAGGATGAACAACACGGAAGCTCAGGGGAACCTGGGCACCCTGATCCCTGCTGGGATCCACCCGACAGAGGAGCTCGGCTCTCTGCGCCGGCCCTGCTGTCACAGACCCTGAGGTCGCACGGGTCCCTGGGGTGGGCACCGTCAGACCGCCCGCTGCCCTCTCCCAGCCCCACGTCCTTCCAGTCTTTCCTCAACTGGCTGAACACGGAGGGAAGAACACTAAACCCCCACCTGCAAGCACCTTGCACCAAAAGCGCCTTTAAGCACCCCAGCTGCTCTAGGCCAGGCCCACGGCACTCAACCATCATGAGACATGAGCTTCACGGACCTCGAGACCATCATTCAAGGTCAGCGGCCACAGGCGCCCTCACCCCAGGGGCAGGAGGCATCCTCATCAGGGGTCAGGAGCTACGGATACGTTGGCCGCCCAAGGCCGTGCGGCCACCTGTGCCGACGCTGCGGGGGTCTGGCTGCTCTGGACCAGGGGCCAGCACAGGTGGCCTCTTGTCACAACAGCAAGTGCTGATGACTGAATGGGGAGGAGGGGGAGGCAAGGGGGTGGGACCAGGTGCTGACTGAGGCTGGGAAGGCCGGCCAGGACCACAAGTCCTCCAAACGCGGAAGTGAGACCACGTGAGCAGGCCTGGCAGAAGGGCCTGTGCGGGGCTCGAGGGCGCCTCGGGGCCGCGTTCTCTGCCATGAGCAGCTACCTAAGCCCGAGCCTGCATGCCACCTCGAGCCTGCCAAGGACAGAGACAGGCAGGAGCGTTTCTCAAAGAAAAACAAAAAAAATTCCAGGCAGGCATTCCAGACACGGCCTCACCCTTCCCCACCCAGAGGACTCTCCTTGGAGACCCAGGATGTGGCTGTAGGAAACTGCTAGACGTGGCCAAAGCCAAGTGAGACCTTGACCAGAGCTGGGCAGGGACCAAGGCTCCCCAGGCCAGGCCGCCAGCGCTGGCAGCTGCCTGCCGTTAAGAGTGACTCCTAACTTGGGGTAGTTTCACACACACACCAATCCCAGTTGCTGCAATGTGCAGTGTCCAATTATGTCCTCACTCTGACAGCCTCTGCCAATATTGGATAAACATTTCCTACCAAAATAACTCAATGCTGGCTCTGAAAGGAAACTCTAAAAGGAACTTTCCCATCAGCCTGCAGCATCGAGGAAGATCTAATTATAGGCTGTGTCCACACACGCAGAACCTGTCCCAAGTGGAGACGCAGTCCAGGCAGAACCCAGCTTACCTTTTGGTGTCGTAGTCGATTAAAACATAATTCTCCATAGCGAGCTTGAGATCTGGGATTTCTTCACAGACCCACCTGAAACACAAAGAAAACTAGTATTAGTGCTCTATTTTTTACTCTCAACACTGTTCTTAAACACTGTTTACAAATACAAAAACAAAACATCCTCGTTACCCAACTCAAAATGTGAAAGAGTGAAGGGAGGTGTTACTTCAAAACAAAGGCTGTGGGGCTTCCCTGCTGGTGCAGTGGTTGAGAGTCCGCCTGCCGATGCACGGGACACGGGTTTGTGCCCCGGTCCGGGAGGATCCCACATGCCGCGGAGCGGCTGGGCCCGTGGTCATTACAATGATGCTGTCCTTATGAATTACACAAGTATTACGTTGCTTCAAGTTCCAACAAGGTTGTCCATTGGGAGCTAAATGGACTTAATGTGTTACAGGGTCTAGGAAATCAAATCAGCTCAAATCAGGGAGTCTGAAAAGCAACGTATCGACCAGAAATGAAAGGGAACTATTATTTGAAGAATTAACTAATTCCAAGACAAACAACGGGGCTTCTTCAACAAACACACTGAGGGAATTCCCTGGTGGGCCAGGCCAGTGGTTAGCACTCAGAGCTCTCAATTCCCAAGGTTCAAGGCCCTTGAACCCAAGGGCCTGGGTTCAATGCCTGGTTGGGGAACTAAGATCCCAACAAACAAAAACAAAAAAACACTGCAAGGGAAAAAAAGAGATGGAGGGGGAACCTGCAGACTGAAAGACAAAAATATATCCACCAATCCCAAGGTGTAACCCTGATTGGATCCTGATACAATCTTGAGAAAAGCTGTGAAAGAAGAGTCATCACTACAGAACTTACAGAGAATAAAAGGAAAATAAGGAATATTATGAAAAATGGCATGTCAATAAACTCAACAACTTGGGAGATATGAACAAATTCCCTGAAAGACACAAATTACCAAAACTGACAGAAGAAGAAACAGAACATCTGAATAGCCCTATACTATTACAGAACATGACTTCCTAATCAAATACCTCCCACAAAGAAACTCCAAGCCCAGGTAGCTTCGCTGGTGAATTCTATGAATCACTGGAGAAGTAACACTAATCCTTTTCAGCTTTATGAGGCCAATGTTACCCTGACAGCAAAACCAGAGAAAGACAAAGCCTTGTAAAGATAAAGTCATCACGAGGAAGGAAATCTACAGACCAGTATCCCTCACAAACACAGACACAAAAATCCTTTAGAAATATTAGTAAACTGAAGTCAGCAATACATCTTATTTAAGTAGAGTTTATCCCAGGAATGAAAAGTTATTTAACATTCTAAAACTAGTCACTGTAGGGACTTCCCGGGCGGTCCAGTGGTTAAGACTCTGCGCTTCCACTGCAGGGGGCACGGGTTCAATCCCAGGTTGAGAAACTAAGACCCCACGTGTCGTGTGGCACGGCCAAAACAAAAACAAAGACAAAAACAAACTAGTCACTGTAATTTACCTCATTAAGAGAATAAAAGAGAAAAAAAGTCATACGATCACCTCAACAGATGCAGAAAACGCACATGACAAAATTCAATTCCTATTCATATAAAAACTTCCAAGAAAACAGAAATGGAAAGAGCCACTCTCCGCCTGATGAAGGGCATGGGGTCGTGGTGGAGCTGCTGTCTCTCAGCAACAAGCCCGCTGCTGCCTGGGGTTCTGCCAGGAGGGGCACAAGGAGACCACAGGCCTGGAGAGGAAGTGGAGCTGGCTCTCTTGTGCCCGCCTGGGTCCCTGTGTCATCCAGCGAGACTGCCTCACCCAGCAGCAGGTAGTTTTCTCCATCGTACAGACCCCAGGCCCCTCCAAACACATGCACTGGCCCTAGCCACTGGTGGCCGGTGCTCCCACGTCAGGGGTCTGGCTCCCTTCCCTGCGAGACCCGCCCAAGCTCACAGTCACCACGGCAGCTGAGCAGTGCTGGCTTCCGAGTGTCATCCCCCCCAGCCCCCGGCTCCCTCAGACCCAAGGGCCCCTGGAGTCACTGCCCCCATGGTCATCAGAGCCTCTCCACCTGGACCTTCAGGGTGAGCGCCATCACCGCTGGCGAGCTCTTGTCCAGCACACCTGCCTTCCCTTGGGAGGCCCCTAGCACAGAAGACAAGGGCCCCTGCAGCCAGCACCAAGCTGGCGGTGCGAACCTGCGCTCCCCAAGGATGGGATGAGCAGGGACCTTCAGCCTTCTACCACATGTCCTGGACAGCACCACAGGCAGGAAAAAGGAATGCACAGAATAAAGGCCAGGAAGGAAGATGCAAAACTGTCCCTACTCACATACACATGACTCAATACACAGACCATCCTAAGGAATTTACAGAGGACCTACCAGAACTCATGTGAATTCAGCAAGGTCACAGGACAAAGGTCAACTATATTTATAAATGCCAGCAAGAAAGAATTTTAAAAAGGAACAATTTTTCTTTTTTTTATAATAAATTTATTTATTTATTTTTGGCTGTGTTGCGTCTTCGTTGCTGCACGCAGGCTTTCTCCTAGTTGCAGCGAGTGGGGGCTACTCTTTGTTGTGGTGCACAGGCTTCTCATTGCGGTGGCTTCTCTTGTGCAGCATGGGCTCTAGGCACGTGGGCTTCAGTAGTTGTGGCAGGCGGGCTCCGCAGTTGTGGCTCGCGGGCTCTAGAGCACAGGCTCGGTAGTTGCGGCACACGGGCTTAGTTGCTCCGCGGCATGTGGGATCTTCTCGGACCAGGGCTCGAACCTGTGTCCCCTGCATTGGCAGGCGGATTCTTAACCACTGCGCCACCAGGGAAGCCCAAGGGAACAATTTTATATGTTACTAAAAATAACATTAAAACGTGGACTTCCCTGGTGGCCCAGTGGTTAAGAATCCGCCTGCCAATGCAGGGGACACAGGTTCGAGCCCTGGTCCGGGAAGATCTCACATGCCGCGGAGCAACTAAGCTCGTGCGCCACAACTACTGAAGCTCACGCGCCCTACAGCCTGCATTCCGCAGCTACTGAGCCTGTGAGCCACAACTACTGAAGCCCGTGCGCCACAACTACTGAAGCTCACGCGCCCTACAGCCTGCATTCCGCAGCTACTGAGCCTGTGAGCCACAACTACTGAAGCCCGTGCACCTAGAGCCCGTGCTCTGCAACAAGAGAAGCCACCGCAAATGAGAAGCCCCCGCACCGCAGTGAAGAGCAGCCCCTGCTCGCCACAACTAGCAATAGCCTGCGTGCAGCAATGTAGATCCAACGAAGCCAAAAATAAATAAATGTAAAAAAAACCCCAAAACAAAAAAACATTGAAATGTAAATACTTAGGGATTATCTTAATGAAAAATTCGCAAGACCTCTACATTGAAAACAACAAAACATCACTGAGAAAAATTAAAGACAACATAATAGTAAATACAGAAACAAACAAACAATGCTCATGGAATACAAGACTAAATATTGTTAAGTCTCCTCCTCAAACTGAACTGCAAAATAATTCCTATAAAAAAGTCCAGTAGGCTTTTTTCTGAGTAACAGACAAGCCGATTCTCAAACTGACATAAAAAAGGCAGAGAATCCAGAAGAGCCAAAATAGTCTTCAAAAATAACAGCACTGTGGCAAGATTCACACTGCCTTAATTTGAGACTTAATGTAAAGCTACAGTAACCAAGAGTGTGGTATTGGCAGAGAGGTGAACAAACAGATCAATGGTACAGGACATGGAATCCACAGATAGACTAAATCTTAACAGCTGATTTTTGACAAAAGCACCAAGGCAATTTGATGGGGAAAGGAACATCTTTTCAACAAATGAGACTAGAAGGATCGAATATTGAATGGAAAAAAAAAATCTTGACCCCCATAAACACAAACTCTCATCAGACATAAACAAAGATTAATTCACGATCGATCTTAAACCTGGATGTAAAATCTAAAACCACAAAGCTTCCTGAAGAAAACAGGAGAATAACTGCATGACTCTGCAGGAAAAGATTTCCTGGATATGACCCAGACGACCCACCATCAAAGAATAAATTGATAAGTTAAAAACTTCCACTCATCAAGATGCCATTAAAGCTGCAATCAGCCACACTATGCATAATACGCTATCTCACTAGGCATTCAGTCAGAATATGTTAAGAATTTCTATAACTCAGTAAGAAGACAAACAACCCATTCTCAAAAAACAGCACAGCGCTTCCCTGGTGCTGCAGCGGTTAAGAATCTGCCTGCCAATGTAGGGGACACAGGTTTGAGCCCTGGTCCTGGAAGATCCCACATGCCGCGGAGCAACTAAGCCCGTGAGCCACAACTACTCAGCCTGTGCTCTAGAGCCCGCGAGCCACAACTACTGAAGCCCGCACACCTAGTGCCCGTGCTCCACAACAAGAGAAGGCACTGCAACGAGAAGCCCGCGCACCGCAATGACGAGTAGCCCCCACTCGCCGCAAATAGAGAAAGCCTGCGCGCAGCAACGAAGACCTAACACAGCCAAAAATAAAAATTAACTAATTAATTAATTAAAAACAGAAACAAAAAACAGCACAAACTCTTCTCCAGGGTAAAAACCAGAGCTCTCTGGAGCAGTGGCCGACTCTTGGGCTGGGACACAGCAAATCCAAGATGACTCTGGAGCACCTGGCGGCTCCAGAAAGTGAGGATGTGCTCAGAGCGGGCGGGGCCAAGTCAAAGGGAATGGGCACAAACCCAAAGGGCCCCCCAGGCCAGCACAGGAACAGTCTGAGGAGCAAAACAAGTAATGCAGCAGCGGGGTATGACCCACAGAATGAAGTCAATGCCTGCGGAGGAACAGCCCTTCCTCACAGAAGAGTTCCATTAATAAATGTGGGGAGAATGACGGCAACAGAAAAGCACCTTTTGGGACTTCCCTGGCGGTCCAGTGGTTAAGACTCTGCGCTTCCCCTGCAGTGGGCATGGGTTCAGACTACAATCCCGCATGCCGCGCAGCATGGCCAAAAAAGAAAAAAAAGTATCTTTCAAATGCCCCAGTAACTAGTCCTTGCAGGTGAGACCCACCTCTGGATGCTAAAATCAGAAGCAAAAGTCCAAGAAGAAACAGGATATCTGCACAGCCTCCAAGTATTGGGCTGGCCAAAAGGTTTGTTCAGAAACGCGAATGAACCTTTTGGCCAACACAATATTTCCCCCACGATTTTTATTTATTAAAAAGGGGAAAACAGTAACTTTACACTGGAGAAATCTGGAAGATACCACCTCAACCACATGATCCAAGTTAATGTCATCATGGCAAGACATGTGGATGCCACGTGCCTCTTGCTGTACTCAGAGCTCTTATAAGGAACACTTTTTTGTCAAATGCTTTTTCTGCACCCATTCCATACTATTTGGAAGCAGACCATACGTGACGTTTTCATCCATAAATATTTCAGTATTTAACTGTAAAAGTTATGGCTTCTTTTTTTTTTTAAACGTAAGTGGATGCCACTGTCACACCTAGGGAAAATAACACCAGGAATAGTAGAGAATTCCTCAAACTCATAGTGGGCATCTGTGAAGAACCTACAGCTAACATCACCTCAGTGGTGGAAGACTAAATCTTTCCCACCAGGATCAGGGAAAAGGCAAGAATACTAGATTTCACCACTTCATTGCAAAACAGTCTTGAAGGTCCCAGGCAATTCAATAAGGTCCAGAAAAAGAAATGCAATCATGAACCCTGTAAAGGAAGAAGTAACGCTGTCCCCACTTACAGGTGATACAATTATTTCCACAGCAAGTCCCAGGAAATTTATAAAACTACCACTAGGACTGATGAATTAAGCACAATTAATTAATTAATACACAAAAATCAACAGTATTTTTACCCACTACCAGAAGGCAAATAGAACATAAAATTTAACACACAATCCCACTTATGGTAGTGCCAAAAGCATGAATGAGCTAGGAATAAACCTAACAAAAGGTTGTCCAAGACCTCCACACTGCAATGCCAGAGCTGCCAAGAGGTGTTGAAAGGCTTAAGTAAGTGCAAAGGTATACCATGTTCATGGATTGGAAGACTCAACAGTGATGGTAAATCTCTCCAGGATGACCTACAGATTCAATTCCTAACTAAACTGTGCAACAATCAACAAGCTGATTCTAATATTTACATGGAAATGCAAAAGAGATGGAATAACCAAAGCAACATTTCAAAAGAAGAACAAAGATGGAGGACTGACTCTGTCTGATTCCAAAGCTTACCATAAAGCTGTGGTAACCAAGGTTTTGTACTGCCCAAAGGAGAGAGCCATGAATCAGCGGCACAGAACAGAGTCTAGAAATAAACCACCTGGTACACTGTCAACTGATCTTTCACAAGGGTGACAAGGAAATTCCACAGGGAAAGGTCAGTTTCATCAACAAATGCTGCTGGAACTACTGGATGTCGGGCATGCAAAACAATAAACTTGAGCCCATACTTTGCACCACATGTAAAAATTTATTCAAAATGGATGAAAAGATGTAAATGTAAAACCCAAACTATAAAACTTCCAAAAAACATAGGAGAAAATCTTTGTGACCTTGAGTTAGGCAAACATGTCTTAGCATGCAAAAAACCCACAAACTATAAAAAAATAAAAGGTGATAAACTGGACTTCTATCAAAATTTAAGATATCTGCTCTTTAAAAGACAATGTCATGAGCATGAAGACACAAGCCACAGACCAGAAGAAAACATACCTGATAAGAATAAATCACAATGATAAAGAATGCTCAAAATTCAATAATTAAAAAACAACCAGTTTTTAAAACCAGGCAGAAGATGATGAACATCATCAATTATTAGGAAAACTCTCATTAAAACCGCAATGATACCACCACACGACTCGAACAGGACCAGCAAAAACAACCCAGTGAACATCACCCGCCAACAACAGGAGCCACGGGAGCGGTCCTGCACCGCTGCCTGCAGCGCCAAGTGGGGAGGCCCCTTTGGAAAACACCTTGGCAGCCTGTCTTCAAGCACAACCCAGCAATCCCACTCCCAGGTATTTACACAGAAGAAAGGGAGATGTGTCCACACAAAAACCTCTGCAGGATGTTTACAACAGCTTCATTTACAATTGCCGAAAATCGAGATCCACCCAAACATGTCTGTCATCTGGTAAACGAATGAGCGAACTGTGGTCCATCCTGCAATGATGCACTCCTCACGAATAAAAAGGAAAAACTATTGTTACACTTTTTAAAAATGTAAAATTCTAGAAAATGCAAAGTAATCCACAGCGGCAGAAAGCAGGTTGGGCTGCCTGGGACAGAAGGGAGGGAGAGGTGGCTGAGAGAGGGCACAAGGAAACACAGGGGTGACTCCCCTGTATACTGGTGCATGGGGACACCCACGCATCCACGTCGGCCACTGTACACTTTCCACACGTGCCGTCTCCTGCACTTCAACCACACCTCGACTGTGTCATAATAAACCCTACCATGGAAAAGAAGAAAGTGAATGGAGGTACAGGTGGAAACAAAAGCAGCTGAGAGTCAGCGAGTGCTGGGCTGGGTGGCTCATCACACCCACTGCCTACCTCTGGGCATGTCGTAAATCCTCCAGGATAAAAAGTAAAATAAGAGGAAAAACAAAATAGGTAACTACTGTCTTTGCCAGTGAACAGAACCCGCCTTCGGGGACACGAGGGAAGGAAGTGAAGTCGCCTGTGAGATGAGGACCAGGCCCAGCTGGACAGCTGCAAACCCAGACCTGACGCCCCGCACTGCAGGGACAGCCCCTCCCTGCAGAAAGGAAGCAGGTGGGGAGGCCGACCCGCCCCCGGAGCTCGCTTGGCTCCAGGGAGTGGGTGAGAACCCAGGCTGGCCGACTCAGCGCCCCCTGCCTAATCACACAGCCCCACTTCCTAACCAGCAGTCTTCTTTAAAAACAAACCATTATTTTTATGACATATTACACCATTAACAACAAAAAAAGTAGATCCCAAATTCTCAGCACCAACCCTGGACAGGCCCACCCTGCGAGACTCACACCCATGATTTCACTCAAGTCTTCCAGACAATCCTGCAAGAGGCCCTGCTCAGACCCGAGAGCAGAGAAAACAATCTCAGGGAGTCTGAGGCCACTCAGCCACCAGGGGCAGGACGGGGCCTCACATCACAGCCCAGACCCCAATCCTGACTCCTCCTTGGGGCACTGCCAGCCCGTCCGCCCCAGGTTCAAGTGGATATAATGGCGTGTGGCCCAGGCAGTGGCTACACAGCTAAGGATTTTAAGGAACAATGCGGCGAGATGCCAGGGCCACGGTCACACACGTGGAACATCTAAAGCCAAGAGCGTAGCAGGATTCCGCGTGTGGGCCCCCGAGGGCACTCTGGAGGCCATCGCAGACCCTCAGGTCCCACGTGAGGAGACAGCCCGCTAGAAACACAGCAGGCGGCCCTCCTCCCAGATCTCGCCCGGGTCAGCCTCCCGGGCACCCGGCCTCCGCTGCACAGCACCGGGCAGGCTCACAGAGGGAAGAGCGGCCCAAACCCAAACCCAAAGGTCACAGCAAACCCCACGGGAGAAGAGTAAAGCAAGGTGACGAGGGGAGAGGGGAGGGTCCCTCGGGAAGCTGGCCACTCAGGATCTCCAGCCTCTTCCACAGGAAGCCAGCTCACGAAGCACCAAGACCTGTCCTGGGTCACACTCAGAGGACCTGGCCCCTGACCCCACAGCCCCACTTCCCAAGCCTCCTCGATGCTGACGATGCTGACGCGGATCAGCATGGAGGAACCGGGGAGCGCACAGCTGGGGGGCTGCAGGGAACTCAGGACTGGCCCACCCCGAGGCCCCGCCCCTGAGGCCCCGCCCCAGCAGGTGCCACACTCACCGGATGGTCTCGATGATTTCATGAGCAGCATCGTGGTGTTTGTCCTGAAAGACAATGGGACAGGGTTTAGAGCCGTCCCTCCACCCTCCGGTGATGGTGGCGACCAGAGGAGGCGGGTGCTGCAGCCCCCAGGACTCCCCGCCTCATTTCCCGACCCGCGGGACCTACCAGAGAGCCCTACCCACAGCGCTGGGGCCATGTCCTGTCACGTGGGACACGCTGGCTTCGGGAGCGCCTGTTCCTGCAGCGCCCTGCCGCCCAGTGGGCTGCGGGGAAGGGACCGGGACGGAGTCTAAGCCCCCGACCCTCCTTCCCCAGGACTTCCCCCGGGCGCTCCTGCAGCCTGGAAGCCACAGGCCTGGCTCTGAATCCCTGAACTGCTGCAGGCCTCGGTTTCCATCTGTAAAATGGGGAAACACCAGTCGTGCAACCACCGGGAGCGGGCGAGCAGCGGTCCTCCCTCCCGGCCACAGCGGCGCTCTCCTGGCCCCACTGCGCCCGGCGGGCTGGCCTCACCACTTTCCCCGAGGAGCACGTCGGGGGTCACTCTGGCCTTTCGCCGGGGTCTTGACGGCCAGCTAACCCAAGACCGCGCAGAAACCAAGTGAGGACGACGCATCGTGTGGACGGTCTGTAACTCTAGACTGCACCTCCGCCCCGCCGGTGAAGGTTTCTATCGTGGTGAGGAGGGGCCTCGAAAAGGATGCACAGCGAGAGGAGGGGCCGCGAAGAGCATGGGCTGAAGCCAGAGGTGAGATGGTCAGGCCCAGAGCTGCCAGCCCTGCCCTGGGACAGCGACTGCCCCTCTCAGCCCAGGCCACCATTTCCACGCTTCACAGAGGAGTATGGCAATGCGGGCAGAGCCCCTGCAGGTCAGGGCACGGATGCCCAGAAGGTCCCAGGACAGGGCCCCCCACGGCACAGCGTTCCTAACAGGTCAAACAACTCCGGAAATACCCTTTGTGTCCTAAGCCCCATCTTTGCAACAGCAGCCCTACTGAGATATAATTCACACAGAATGGGCCTCCGCTTCAAGTATACAGTTCAGTGGGTTTTAATACATTCAGAGCTGGGCAACCATGCCCTCTATCTAGTTCCAGAACATCCCATCACCCTGTTAGCAGACGCGCCCCAATCCCCTCCCCAGCCCCTGACAACACTAATCCACTCTCTGTTTCTGTGCATTTGCCCCTTCTGGACGTTTGTAAATAGAATTAAGATATGTGACCTTTTGCCCAGAGTTTTATTTTTTAAGGCAAAGAAAAAAAACAATCTTCTATCATTCTTAATAATATCCTCCAACTTACCAAGGATGGAGCAGTAAATATCCATTGAACTCATATTACTTAGACAAGGCCGGGGGCGGGAGATGGAGCATGTGCGGTCCAGCACAGGATAGCCCTGCAGACCAGTGGTTCCCGAGACGGGGGAACCGACCCGTAGCATCAGCACCACTGCTGACCCAGAAACCCTTGGGAAGAGCCACTGATCAGCCCCAAGGCCTCCTGGCAAACGTTAGAAAACAGTGAGGACAGCTGGGTTTGGAAAACAGTCTGGCAGCTCCTCAAAGGTTAAACAGTTAGCAAATGACCCAGCAATTCCCCTCCTGGTGTCTGCCCAAGAGAAATGAGAATATTTGTCCACACAAAACCCTGAACATTGGGCTTCCCTGGTGGCTGGTGGCACAGTGGTTAAGAATCCAGCTGCCAATGCAAGGGACACAGGTTCGAGCCCTAGTCTGGTAAGATCCTACATGCCACGGAGCAACAAAGCCCGTGCACCACAACTACTGAGCCTGCATGCTGCAACTACTGAAGCCTGTGTGCCTAGAGCCTGTGCTCCGCAATGAGAAGCCACTGCAATGAGAAGCCCGCGCACTGCAAGAAAGAGTAAACCCCACTCACCACAACTAGAGAAAGCCCGTGCATAGCAACGAAAACCCAACGCGACCAAAAAGAAAAACCACGCACAAAAAACCCCTGAACATTAATGTTCACAGAAGCGTGATTCACAACCGCCAAAAGGTGGAAACCACCCAAATGTCCATCAACAGATGAACGAATAAACAAATGTGTCCCTCCACACACTGAAATATTATCCATCCATGAAAAAGAGTGAAGCACTGACCCTCGCTACAACGTGGACAGACCCTGAGAACATGATGCTCAGTGAAAGAAGCCAGACAGAGGAGGACATACAGGTTGTGATTCCATTGATGGGAAACGTCCAGAAAAGGCAGATCCACAGACACAGAGAGTGGGTTCCTGGTTGTCAGGGGCTGTGGAGGGGGATGGGAGGGATGCTAATGGGGATGGGGTTTCCTCTCGGGGTGATGGAATGTTCTAAAATTGGTAGTAGTGACGACTGCACTCAATGAATACACTACAAAGCAGGGAACGGCACGCTTTAGGTGGATGAGGTGAAGACTGTGGGAATTACACCTCAAAACAGCTATCAACAACAACAACAAGAACAACAGGGACTTCCCTGGCAGTCCAGTGGTTAGGACTCTGTGCTTTCACTGCCGAGGGCCCAGGTTCAATCCCTGGACACAGAACTAAGATCCCACATGCTGCACGGTGCGGCAAAAACAAACAAACAAAAAACCACAACAAAATTTACAGGAGGAAACACACGGTATCGTTAGAAGCACCTCCACCTCAGTAGGAAGATACTGGGCATCTCAGACACTCACACGGCCGACAGACTCTGTTCCTGGTCCACAAAATTCAGTGAGTCCACAAGGACAGTCCTGGCAGCCCTGAATTCCCTGGCCTCCTGGACCCACTGAAAGCAGAGAAGACGCCACGCTGTCCTGCAGGGTCTGCTCAGAGACAAACGCACACAGCACAGTGTACAAGGTGATGAGGTAGTCAAAGGATGAGGAGGAGGGTCTAGAACTTTCCACCAATGCTCTCCCACATCACACTCCTCCTGAGGGGAGCCGGCCCCCGTGCACTGAGGAGCCTCGGCAGCCCTGAGGGGCCCACATGCAGAGGAGCCATGGGAGGGGCCTCCTGGAAGCCAGGCATCCTGCCCGGTCCAGCCTTCAGACGGGGCAGCCCCGGCTGAAGCCCCTACTGCAGCCTCCTGAGGGACTCTCGGCCGGAATCCCCTGGCCCGCCTGCTCTGAATCCCTGCCCTCAGAAACCACGGGAGGTCATCAGTGTGCACTGTCTCAAGCTGCTAAATTCATGTCTGCGTTTAGGCTGATATGCTACCCTGCGAGCACAGCCTGTAAGAACAAGTCTTAGAGCCACAGGAGGACATGACAGTACCCAGGAGAGTCTGATTCCAGTCACCACTGTGGAGTTACAAAACAGGGTGCATGCTCTGAAAGGACCCCGTGAGCACGCGCGTGTGCCTGAGCGTGCGCCGCGTGGCAGCCCCGTGCTGGCTCGGACTGCGCTCCCTCCCTCGGCGCCCCCCAGAAGGCTGGACGCGCCCCAGAGACGCTCCTCCTGCAGGGGCGGCAGGGGCCCTCACAGCACGCGGGCCGCAGCCCTGGCTGAGCCACCACATCTCAGACCGAATCAGGCAGACCTGGGAAGACAGGGGCCTGGAACGTGGTCTTATCTGTGATGCGATGAACTCAAGCTTTCCCAAGCTTTCAACTTTCAAACCAGAACGAAAGGAAGGAAACAGTTTATGAAGTGCCTCCTACTATCTGAGGATGCTGCTTTAGGGACTGGCCAGCTTCCAGCGACCGTCCTGAGTCGTATGATTTAAGATGCCCTGATCACCATCGATGATTCAGAAGCTCTCACAGCTTCTCGGCTGCAGCCTCTTCTGCTTCACAGTCCTTCAGAACAGAGTGACGTGAGAAGCCAACCCAGAAAGGTCCGACTGAGAACAGCCCTGAGGAAGTCCGCGCTTTGGAGCGCCCACACCTCCTCCCCCGGGGGAACCCTGGAACTCCGGGGTTTAAGGCCAGCCCTGGACTCGCTGTATGGGACACCCGGCCTCCCCGTCCCAGCCACAGCCCCAGTCCGCTGCTGGCTGCTTGCTGAGTCAGTGACTAACCCAGGCTCTTCTCACTGACAGCCTCAGAGCCTCCGCAGGAAGCCGCGCAGAGGCTTAGCAGAATGCTGCTCACCACAGAGCCGGTGGCCTCACTCCGGGATCCTGGGAAAACAGCCACAAAAAGCACAACCGTTCCCACCTGAAAAAGCACGCTGTGCAGAAGCCAGAGGCTGTCATCAGGCCTGAGCCGCCACCAAGGCCATCCCATCCGTTCCCCTCCCCTGTCCAGCTCAGGTGAGGGCGGGGGCCGCCCACGGGGCTGGGGAGTCTGGCTGTCCCACTCGGCAGGCCCCCTGCCTCCTCCTTGACCATGAGGACAGGTGTGGGAACAGGAACTCCACTCGGACGCCCGCAGTCTGGTTCTGCCCCTGCTCGTCCCCACAGGCCCTGCACCCGGCGTGAGGAGCCTGGACAGAAGGCCTCCTGGGTGCTCGCTGCCAGGGCACGGCCCACCCCTGAGCACGCAGGCTGGTTCACGGTGACAGCGGCACGACATCTGGAAACATCATCCCTCGAGGACCCGGCGAGAGGCAGGGGGCAGAGACTAGGGAGGAGACAAGACGTGGACTCCGTCCTCCTTTTCCCACTTGCGGCAGGAAGACGCCGGGACCCAGGGGGCCTCCGAGGCAGGGGCATCACACCGGGATGAGCATCAGAATCCCTGATCAGAGCAGAGTTCTGGGGCCCACCCGCAAAGTTTCAGAGTCAGCAGGCCTGGGCCCCAGGAACCCGCATTCCTAACCAGTTCCAGCTGTTGGGAAGCTGCCGGCCCAGGGACCCTGCTCAGAGAACCACTGGCCTGAAGCAAGCAGGGACCACACACTGTATCACCGTCTGCTGGGGTCAGAAGTGCCCAGGAAGTGCCGAGGGGGAGCTCCCTGGGACTCTGCCCGCGGTCCCCACTCCCCAACAGGCTGCAGGGGGCACTGCCTGTGGGCTGGGGGTCGCTGCCTTCTTCCCCGAGGCTCTGCACACCTCCGGAGCCCTGGGGAGGTGTGGAGGCCAAGGCAAGTGGGACAGA